TCTGTCCACATCCCCTCCAGCATCTGCTATTAGATTTCTTGATTATAGCCATTCTAACTGGGGTGAGGTGGTATCTCAATTTTTTTTTTAATCAGCCAACACCAGGCACTGGTAGCTGCCCCTGTAATCCTAGTTACTCAGGAAGCTAGGATCTGAGGATGGCAGTTCAAAGCCAGCTCAGGGAGACAAGTCCATTAAGACTTATCTCCAATAAACTACTCAGAACAAGCTGTAAGTGGCACTGTGGCTCAAGTGGTAGAGTGCTTGCCTTGAGCACAAAGAGGCTCAGGGACAGCACCTAGGCCCTGAGTTCAAACTCCAAGACCGGAAAAAAAAAAAAATCAGCCAAGCTAATTAATGAACCCTTACCTCATGGATTGATTATCAACTCTTTAGCCTGGAGTTAGTTGTTTTCTTTTTTGCTGCTCTTTGTCTGTCTGTCTCTTTCTCTTTCTCTCTCTCTCTCCCTCCCCTCCTCTCTCCTGCTTTTTCTGTTCATATTTATGAAGTTATCTTCATCCTGCAACTTTATTTTGTTGTCTTCTTCATCTTGCTTATTAGGAAAAGGATTACACATTCACTAGGATGAAAGCAAGCCATCTCTAGGGTGAGAATGACAATGATTTTTCCCCTAACACAAGTTGTTTTTATTAAAGTACAAGGGGCTTGGGAACATTAAATCCCTCCCCCGGATAAATCCACAGATATTCACTATTGCAAGGTTGGGGATGATTTTCTGAATTACATTTGTCTTCCAAGCCATGGTTTACTGGCCTGGCCCTATAACTTCCTTGATTTTAAATTTCTGGTCTCTATCAATGAAAATGGATAATTTTGTTGTAGGGTAGGAAGTTTGTGGTAATTTGCTACAGCAGCACTGGGAAGCTAATGCATGAAGTTTTTCTGTAAAATGACTAATTTTCTTTTTTTTCCTATACCCCACCCCCAACATTTTGACTTTTTAAGATTAAATGTTTTAAGCAAAGTATTTTAATTCTTCATGCTAATATTTGAAAGATAAAATAGTAAGAACCATCCAAGTGTTCAGTTTGTGGCCAGGATTTGAAACCACATAGTGATTAGTGTCTAGCTCTGATCACTTCAAAGGTAAAAACTGGATTTGGGATACAGCAGTGTGGAGGTCATTAGCTCTTTGTCTTTGACCTCATTGTCTCAGAGATAGGATCTAATGGGCCCCCTAGTCTTCTCCAACAGTCTTTCTTGGCCCTGGCTCAATACCCACAAACCTGTTCATTTGGGAGTGGCTACCTAGCTCAATGGGCCTTGCTGGCTGAGGAAAGAATTTACATGCCTCCCTGGGGACCAGAGTATTTATAGATCCTAGGGGAGAGGAAGGATGGAGGCTCCTGGGAGACGTCATAGAGGATGTGAAAAGGAAATGTAACTGCTCTGAAAGACAAACAGGAGGAACAAGGGACCAGTGTGATGCTGGGAGAGGCCAAAGGATCAGAAGGAATTAGGCAGGATGCAGGGGGAAAAGGGCACTTTGATGGGGCTGAGCTAGGGTCAGGGGCAGAAGAGTGGTTCTTTACCTTCATGATGGATTTCTCTTAGGACATATCCTGCTAATGAACAGTTGCATCTTCACAGACAGTTGGAATAATAGCCAATTATCTTAATTCTATTGCTAGAACATTTTTGAGGAGCATGGTTTTTGGGTAAGTGAGGTATATCTGTGGGAACCTCTGATTCCTCTTAAACATTTAAAACAACCTGAAAGACACATCATTTGCAAAGAAATTGGAAGAAACATTTCATGCAAGTGGATTACGCATTTCTAGGGCATTTGCAACCTCTTTGGAAGTACAGAATTACTACTCTGGTGATGAGGGTTAGGAAGCACCAGACATCAAGACAAGGGAGAGAGCATCATACAGCTAGCTGTAGAAGAAAGCTTGACAAAATTCAACAACAAGGTTATTTCCTCCAAACAGTAACTAGAGTGTCTTGACTCACAAAGTTCCAGGATAGGTTCCTTATAATTAACATCATGGTCTCTGATTAGAATGGTCTCATACCTCAGTGGGAAAGTTGATCTGTGAATATGGCTTGAACTTCCACTATTCTATGGAAAGCATTATGCTGACTGCTCTGATAGATACAGAGAAAGCTCAGTTGTGGTCAATAGAATAGGCAAGACAAATACTTAGTAGAGGAACAATGAAAGTTCATGTTCAACAATGCCAGTGAGCCCCAGGCTATGCCAGGAAGGCACAACAGAACAGCAGACAGTTGAAGTGACTTTGACCATGATACCAGTCTTAAGTTTGCCAGCGCCTTTCTGTATAACTTTGCTACTTTACTTTTGGGACCTCAGTTTCTCTTTCTGCATAATGAAGGGCATGGGAGTGACTCTTTTGAGTATGAAATTTTCCTGGCTGCTGGAAAGGCTTATCACTATCCGTATGTCTTTTCCTCCCTCCATTATTTGCATTATTTCTATCAAAGCAATGATTACACAATCAGGGGTGGAGGGTCATGGTTTCGAGTATTTCTCAACTACTGGTGAAGACTCAGCTAAAAGATACTTGATAGGTATCAAACTTAGAATCATTCTTAGTGTGACTTTACAATTCCTTCTTTCATTCATTGAACATTTACTTAGGGTAAGAGCACTCCCAGTGAGAATACTTCCTTCCTTCCCTCCTTCCTTCCTTCTTTCCTTCCTTCCTTCTTTCCTTCCTTCCTTCCTTCCTTCCTTCTCCTTTTCTCTCTTCCTTTTCTCTTTTTTTCTTTCGTGGTACCAGGAATGGGCTAAAACTCAGGGCCTGAACACTATCCTTAGTTTTTTCATTCTACCATTTGAGCCACAGACCATGTCCAGATATTTTGGTGATTGATTAGAGTTAAGCCAGACCCAAAGAAATATTGGCTCCATGGTTTCATTCATTTGTAATAATTAGTATATGTCTAGGATAGTCTTAGCAGAGGCTTATAATAGCTCAATAGCTATGTATATATGACCATATAAGATGATATTAATCAAAATGAATTCCAAGATATGGAAAAAAGTTTTCTTTTGTTGTTGTTGTTTTTAATGCACTGTATGAAGTTATTTCTTTTTTCTTTCATTTTTTTTCCTTTGGTTTACCCCTGTTGTCAATGCTATTTGATTTTGGTACACTGAATCTTGTATATACAGTTATCTGATCTGGGAAAGGGTAGGGGAAAAACAAAATGGTGAGACCAATGCAACAGCGATACTCACAAGACATTATGTTGGAAATGAACTTTATACCTTGTGTGGGGGAGGGAAGGTAGGAGAAAAATGAAGGAGGAGGTAACAATGTTTAACAAGAAATGTACTCAATACCTTACATATGCAACTGTAACCCCCTGTACATCACCTTGACAATAAAATTAAATTTAAAAAATAAAGAAAAAATAAATTTGAAAAGAGTCTCAGAGACTTTCCTGCCTGAGCTAGCTTTGAGTCCTGATTCTTAGCTCTCAGCTTCCTGAGTAGCTAGGATTAGAAGTATATGTAACCCATGCCCCAGAAGACTTACTCTTATATTTATAAGACACATGTAACAAATATCTGTAAGATTCACAAGAGCTATACAATGCTCCCCTCACTATGATAACTAAGCACTCTGCCAAGTACTTTATTCACCCTTCCAAGAACTGAGGGAGCTAGGTGCTGGCTTACTTTTTACTTGAGGAACCTAGTGTTCAGAAAGGGTTAATAATCTGCCTAAAGTTATCTATTTAGTAAGTGACTGGGCCACCTAGTTCCAGAAGACATGTACTCACCCACCATGCCTTCTTGATTCCCAAATAAAAATTTTATGAATTAGATGTTTAATTGCCAGTAGTGATATATGGGCCCAGGAAATGAAACATTACTTCTTGTTGCCCAGTAAAGAGGAAAGAATGGGTCTTGAAGCTAGGCCAATCTGGAAAAATTATATAATCTCTGATAAAAATCATCTGCAAAATGGTGATGATAAAGAACAAAACCTACCTTATATGAGTATGAGGATTTGATGAGTTAACTCATCTGAAGCATTAGGCTACTGCTTGACACACAGTACATGCACAAGAAATTGTAGCTATCGTTGTCATTGTCATCATCATTATCATTGAGGGCAGGCAGAAAGGAATAGGATACGACAAGATTGTGCTTTGAGGCTTCAGTGGCTAGACCTGTATGTTGAAAGTTGGGTTGGAGATTGCCAGACAGACTCTCTTCCTCAATTGATTGTGGAACAAGGTGAGTGCTGTGTAGAGAAGTCATATCAAAGTGACTCAAGTGCTTTTTCCTTGAAGCTGGTGTTACCTTGGTATAGGATATTGTTTTCCAAAGGCCTTGTTAGAATGAGAATGAGAATCACACTTAGAAGGTATAACTTCAAACCACTATCATGTATTTATTCCCTGGATCAAATGCACTCATCTTAATAGCTCTAATAGCCGAGTGCTGGTGGGTGGCTCATGCCTGTAATCCTAGTTACTCAGGAGACTGAGATCTGAGGATCCCAGTTCAAAGCCAGCCCAGGCTGGAAATTCTGTGAGACTCTTATCTCCAATTAACCACCAGAAAACTAGAAGTGGCTCTGTGGCTCAAGTGGTAGAGTACTTGCCTTGAGCTTAAGAACTGAGGGACAGTGCCCAGGCCCAGAGTTCAAGCCCCATGACTGACAAAAATAATAGCGCCAATAGTCACTGGTGCTTTGGGGAAATAAGATAGGGAGCGGGGGTTTTTTGTTTGTTTGGGGGTTGTTTTTGCTTGAACTCAAGGCCTGGGCATTGCTGTTAAGCCTCTTTGTCTTACAGGCTAGTGCTGTACCACTAGAGTCACAGCACTATGTCTGGCTTTTTAGTAATTTATTGGAGGTAAGAGTCTCACAGACTTTTCTGCCTGGGCTGGCCTCAAATTGTGATTAAAATCTTAGCCTCCCCAGTAGCTAGGATTAAAGGCATGAGCCACCAGTGCCTGACAGCAGTTCTTTTGTTTTCTACATGCAAATACATGTTAAAATATAGAATGTTTCATAAATTTTCAGATCATCCTTGTGCAGTGGATGCTAATCTTCTCTGTATCATTCCAATTTTGTATATGTGCTGCCAAGGCAAGTACAGGATGCAGCTTTAATGGCTACTAAGAAAATAGATATAAATGGAGCAAGGGGAAGACAGAGTCTTTCCTTCCAAATCAGTTCCAGGAGACTCAGGGTTAAACCCAGAAGTCAAGAGAGAGCATATGAAAAGGAGAGTAACATTAAAGCAGTAACTATAGTGTGTTTGTGGGTGGGGGTTATGCTAAGTACTTTATTTTGCATTATCAAATTTAATAATGTTTGTCTTCACCTGTTCCTGCTGCTATAACAAGATAGCTAAGACTAATAATTTTATTTTTTAGGTCAGTCGTGGGGCCTGAACTCTGGGTCTGGGCACTGTCCCTCAGCTCTTCAGCTCAAGGCTAGTGCTCTACCACTTGAGCCACAGTGCCACTTCCGGCTTTTTTCTTTTTGCTTATGTGGTGCTGAGAAATCGAACCCAAGGCCTCATGCATGCAAGGCAAGCGCTCTACCACTGAGCCACCTTCCCAGCCCCAAGACTAATAATTTATAAGCAGTCAAAAATTATTTCTAAAATCATGGTACCAGCATGTTTAGTGTCTGGTGTAAGTTCCCAAGCCCTCTTCTCCTCTTCCAAAGTACTACCTTGAGTGCTATATTTCTCTGGAGGGAATGGAACTGTGCCCTCACATGACAGAAGCCAGAAAGGCAAAAAGGACATTAGGTTGCCCCCTTCAACCTCTTTTTATTTTTTATTTTTTTGGGTCCGGTCATGGGGCCTGAACTCTGGGCCTGGGCTCTGTTCCTCAGCTCTTCAGCTCAAGGCTAGCACTCTACCACTTGAGCCACAGCGCCACTTCCAGCTTTTTTTCTTTTTGCTTATGTGGTGCTGAGGAATCGAACCCAGGGCCTCAGGCATGCAAGGCAAGCACTCTACCACTGAGCCACCTTCCCAGCCCCCAACCTCTTTTTATAAAAGCACCAATCTACTTGTAGGGGTGGAACTCTCATGATTATTAACCTTCCAAAAAGCTCCTCTTAACTGGGCACTGGTGGCTCATGCCTGTGACCCTAGCTACTCAGGAGGCTGAAATTTGTGGTTCATGATTCAAAGCCAGCCTGGGCTAGAAAGACTGTGAAACTTTTATCTTCAGTTAATCACCCCCAAAAAAGCCAGAAGTGGAAAAATGGCTCAAGTGGTAGACTGCTGGCCTTAAGCAAAAAGCTCAGGTACAACTTCCAGGCCCTGAGTTCAAGCCTCATGACTGGCATTAAAAAAGAAATCTCCTCTTTTGGAGGGACATAGACATTGAAACCATAGCACATAAAGTTGGTACCATTATTGCACTTATTTAACAGAGGAAGGAACTAAGCCTGATGAGGCTAAGTAACTCATCCATATCACAGAGCCAATGAATGGGGTTGAGGCCAGATTTGAAATCTATTATGTAAATCTGCCTTCTTTTTAATATACTGCACTGTTCACATAAACCCACAGTATACAGACATGGATGAGTCAGTTGAACTTTAGTAGCTGGTGGTGATGACATAGGTCACTATGCAGATCTGAATAATTTATGTATAATGTCCAAGAGGGGAACAAGTCACATAGCCCAGATATGTCATCACTTTTTTCCACAATTCAGAGTCCTACTCCTGTCCCAAATTGTCCCTCACTCTGACTGGAAACAGTCTTAACCTCTGATGGTAGATCTGATCCTCAAGGGCAACAGTGTGTTTCACAGTGACTTGCTTCATCAGGGCAGGAAGCACATGCTCCCCCAAACAAATGTTCAAACACATTTTCTGCACTATTGAGTCAACAGTATCATCTTCCTGAACAAAAGCCAACACAGAGTTCTGCTTAGGTATTTATTGGACAAACAGAGTACAAACTAGACACTATCACATTCTGGTGACCCTAAAATCCGGATGGTGGAGATACATAGGAAAACTGGACATTCCAGGGAGTCTACAAAGGATTCACAGTTTGTGATCACAATTGCATTTGTATAAAATGGTGGTTGTCCTTCTGTGTAGAACATGGTCCAAAGAGGATGGTACATCCATTAAAAATGCTTTCTATGTTCCCAAGAGTAGTGCTGATGAAAACTGTGGCCATGTAATCCTAGCTACTAAGTAGGCTGAGATCTGAGCATTGAGGTTCAAAGCTAGCCTGGGCAGGAAAGGCCGTCAGACTCTTATCTGCAATAAACCACTCAGAAAACCGAAAGTGGTGCTGTGGTTCAAGTGGTAGAGTGCTAGCCTTGAGCTGAAGAGCTGAGGGACAGCGCCCAGGCCCAGAGATCAAGCCCCATGACACACACACACACACACACACACACACACACACAGTGGCCATAGCTGTCATGAGGAGGACCTTTGTCCTCACAATGGGCAAGGAATAGCCTGAAAAAGAAGGAGGAAGAGGTCTTGGAGTTGGGACTAGAAAAATGAATGGAGTTTGGTTAAGTGGAGAGAAGGACTCAGTTTTGAAATGTTTCTCCTAAATGTAAAGCTCTTTTCATCTTACCTTAATGAATGCCTTCAATCTATAACTGCTTTGCATTCATTTTTAATCTTTCCCTTTTTTTTCACCTTACCTTGTACAGTTGAGGATTAGTCTAGGTAGGAAAAAGAATTATAGAACAAGCAGAATGAATGAGCCATCAAATGCCATGATCAATATCAATGCCATGATCAACATTTCTGTTCTTTGCTGTCCAATAGAGTAGCTGAAAAACTGAACAACTGAAATGTGGCCTGTGTGACAAAGGAACTGAATTTAAACTTCATTTAAAATACATTAGTAGGTTTTGTATGGGAAATACTTCTCTAACCATTGAACAATAGCCTCATAGTGGAGGTGTGATTGAAGGCTTCTATTAACCTAGATATGGGGGGGGGCATTTATTTAGGTGTGCATGGGTAGGACCCAGATGTTTTATAAAAATGACCTTCCAAAGCTTTCATGATCTGCACTGTACCTTCATGTGCATTGTTGCATTTGATCCCATGACATACCAAAGTGGATAGGGCAGACATTATTGTACATGTAAGACCTGTAAGGCCTTACATTAAGTAAGGGTGAAACCAAGAAGCTGTTTTTTCTTCTGGAACAGGCTTCCATGGGCATAGCAGAGAAAGAATTACTTTGTGGTACTGTGCCCACTTGCTCAGTGCCAGGGTCTTTTGGCTGAAGAGAGATGCTTTACTTTGTGATTTGGGGGGGAGGGCACTAATGGGATCATAGCCCATGAACAAGAATTCTTTTCCAGATCCCCTGATTTAGGCAATAGGAGTGTGTTTGACTAGTACGTCCATATATTTTAAATTATATATCAAGCACCAATTATGCCCCCAAACACTCTTCTGGGTTTAGGGAGAGACACAAGCACAAAACAAAGATCCTTCTTTTGTGGAGGTAACACATTCTGATGGCAGGAAACTGATACTAAATAGTAGATTGCTGCATTTTTGTAACACTTCAAAAATATTTCATTGTAATATTTCATGTCTTTTATGGCCCACATAGGCACTGTCCAATATGCCTTTGTTTGAATCTGGTCTTAAACTTTAAACAAAGCTGCCTGGTTTGCTGCAAGGTGGAAACACATTTGATTTAACATGTGTTGAGAGAGTGCCATCTATGTGTAGAGAATGATACTGGTGGGGACCTTAGAAAAATACAGAAGAGTGAAAACATAGGATCCCATCCTGGGTGTTTCCTATCTGATGCAACAGGCAGTCTCTGTTTGGAAGCTCCCAGGCTGTAGAAGGGACTAGAAGTTTAGTCTAGAAGGGAAGAAGTTTTCAGGAGGCACATAAAGAGGCATGCCAGGTATATGTAAAAAGAAATGCAGTCTCCACTGCGTGGACCTGGATAAACCAACCTCTCTTTATGATGATGGGGAAGTGGATAGGGGACAGTTCCAAAGAGAATGGCATGTGGTAGGACTTGTACATCCTAAACAGTGAGAAAAAACCAAGGGGAAGGCTCTCCTAGATTACTGTTACCTTGGAAGTCTTCTGATGACCTGGCATTTGAGGGTCAGTTGTAAGAATGAAGAGCTCATAGGCTGGGATGTTGGCGGAGGTGTTGCAGACCAGGTAGAGGATACCTCCTGGGAGACAGTAGGAGAAATAAGAGTGTGTGAACAATGAATCAAGTTTTGGGCACAAACCAGGGTAATCATCTCCCATTCCAATTTAGTTGAAGGTGAAGTGAAAATAATTGGACTAGTGTTGAAAGCTCTTGAGCAAATTCTTGGGGCTGCAGAGTGATAAGAAGGACCATAGAGTCCGAGGTGGGAGGGAGGAGGAATGAATGGGGTCAGTGTGGATGGGATGTTTCTCCAAGTAGACAGGTTTTGTGGCCGCTCTGAAGGAGGCCAGGTGAGAAAGGGTTAAGCACGCCCCTCCACTCTTCCTGTGTTTGAAATCTTTTAGGTCTCCACTAACCCCCTGGCCCTCAGCCAAACGGGCATTGTCTTAGGAGCGCTTGTGGGTTGTCCAAGCCAATGTGCAGCCTTTGTTGTGGGGCCACCTCGGGGATCCCTCTTATGCCCTCCTGGAGCAGCAGAGTGCGTGAGGGAAGGGGGGCGGTGGGGGGGGGCGGTGCAAAGGAGGCTTGTTCCCTCCTCTCCCTCTTCCTGCCCCCCCCCCGTCAGCCCTCCCAATGACCACATGACCAAGTGGGCTCTCAGCCAAGCCGCAAACTACAAAATGCAGCCACGGGAGTGAGCGGGCGCATTCTCGCTGGCAGCTGGACCACGGGCAGTTGGAGTCCCAGCGGAGCAAAGCCAACCGCTTGGCACAGGCTTGCCGTCACCTCCTCTCCCCTGGATCAGCGGAGGCCAGCTTCACGGCGCCGCCACGCGCGGTGGTAAAGAGAAGCTGCACGAGAGGAGAGGCCGCGAGCGTGCGGGTACAGCAGCTGGTCGCTTGTGGCGTGGCAGGGGTGCACACCACGCACGCACCCCTCCCACCCCACCCCAATCCCAGCCACAAGACCTCGGTTCCCGCACTCATCCGGCACCGCTCTGAGCTCTCGCTTTTCTTTGCCTCTGAGCTCCTCCGTGTCTTCAACTCTCCCGCCCGCCCATCAGTACAAAACTGCAGCATGAATCTGCGGCTCTGCGTGCAGACACTGTTGCTGCTTTGGCTCTCCTTGACTGCGGTGTGTGGAGGTGAGTGACTGCACGCTCGCCCACCGGCGCTCCCCCGTGCTCTCCCCTCCCTCTGCCCCCAGTTCACGCTCTCCCTGCCTCCCGCAGAGCCAGGCGCGAGCTAGGCACAAGCCGCCACGCGCCAAGCCGGGCCGGGAGGCTGATTGACAGAGCTCCCAACGAGCTGCTTCCTCCGGCAGGAGGGGTGGGAGTGGGCTGGGGGTCCGCATGTCTTTGGGCATCCTCAGTGATCGCCTTGCCCCCTCTTGACCACCCTTCACTGTCTAAGGAACTCCCGATGTCTTGCACACTGCATCCCACGTGGTGGTGGGGGGCGGGGAACCTGTCCGTGTGGATCAATGGAAAAGAGCTGGCTACAGCTGAGTGGACTACCCCACCCCCCCCCGTGTTGAAGGTCTTTTTGGCTCTTAGAACTTAGGGGCTGCCGGCCAGTCCAGGGGTGCTGGCCACTAGGGATTTATGTGCCAGCATGTAGACGTGACACTTGTTGCATAGGCAGGAGGAGCGTGTGGTGGGGTGGCAGCAGCGTGGATCTCAGCTGTTGTTCCGTTCAGCCTGTATATGAGCAGAGACAGCCCTCCCCGAGGCTGGGCTTGGACCAGAATGGACGGGTCTTCTCCTGCCTTATGCTAAGATCTTCTCTGGTCTTTTCCACTGCTTAGCATGGGACACCCTCCTCGGCTACAGATTCCAACCCACCCCAGGTACTCCGATCTTCTATATCCTTGTTTCAGACCCCACTCCCCCAGGCATGGGTTTGCATCTTTTGAATTCTGTCTCCAGGCATCAAACCAAGAAACACAACCACTTGACCTGATGCAGCTCAGGGAAGATTCTTTTCACCCCCACCTGTACCAACCCCCCACCTGGTAATACTTGGCACTAGTACTCCCTGGCCTGCCCCAAGCCTGATTTCCAGGCTGCCAGTCCTCTGTGCGTCAGTATCTCCTGGGCTCGCCAACTCCCACCTCCAACTGCTACAGTCCTGTGATCTGGCTGTCACTACTGCCTGCCTGTCACTACAGAAGGAGAAAGCCAAGACTAGGAGAACTAATGCCAGTGCCAGGACTGGGGCCACAGGGAGGAAGGGGAGAGGGCAGAGTACTACGTTTCCTAGATCAAGGGCAGAGAGTCCTACTTGGTTCTAAACCTTCTAGAACAGGATGATGGGCTGAAGCAGGATGATGGGCTGAAGCCCAGGAGCCTTTACAGGTCTGACCTACTCTGCCTGCGTGTCTTCACAGGCCACCTTCCTTTCTCTGTTTTGTTCCTTGGCTCTGCCCTGATTCTAGGGCACTGTCAGGATTTTCAGGAAGGCAGGTTGGTTCCGTCTGGCACCTTTTGCCTCCAGGCAGCTGTCCAGTGGTTTCTTTCCTCAGGACTCCAGAACTGAGTCATTCACCTCCTTGGGAAGAAGAGCAGACTTTTTTTTTTTTTGGGTCCAGTAGTGGAGCCTGAACTCTGGGCCTGGGCGCTGTCCCTCAGCTCTTCAGCTCAAGGCTAGTGCTCTACCACTTGAGCCACAGCACCACTTCTGGCTTTTTTCTTTTTGCTTATGTGGTGCTGAGGAATCAAACCCAGGACCTCAGGCACGCAAGGCAAGCGCTCTACCACTGAGCCACCTTCCCAGCACCATGAGAAGAGCAGACTTTATGCTCAAACTCCTGTCTGCCAGGCAGTGTCAGCAAGGGAGTGAAAGATAAGAATAAAGATCCCAAAAGCTCCTGTCCCTCCATCCTGGAACTTCCCATCCAGTATAAATAGCAATACAAGCCCCTTGTATGAAACCTTAGCCATCAAAGACTCCAAGGTGGTGCCATCAGGGAAGAAAAAGAGTGAGTGTGGAAAGGGTGACCCACAGGAAGCTGGGGCTGCCCGATCTGTATACCCTGTCCCCTCCCCCAGGCTACAAGGAAATCCTTGATCAATGGAAAAGTGAGCCATATGGGGTAGTGCAGTTTCAAGGGAAGAGAAGCTAGTCATCCTGCTAGAACAGTGCATGCTTCTGGCTTAGATCTTTCCACCTCTTGCTTTAATCTTTCCTTTGTCATTAGCTCATCTGCCCACCCCAATTTAGGAATATACATTGCCCTCACATTTTGTTTAAGCCTGATGCTAAAAATTTCTAAGGCTCCTACTGCCTTGTCATCTCCTATCCTCTCCTAGAGCCAAAGTAGGACAGGTAGCCACCAGACAAAGTCTAGGTACATAGGTCTCCTTCTCCTGCTGCCTGGGCCTCAAAACTACTTTGTCTTTGGCCCAGACTTGCATGTGCTCTCCCCAGCCAGAGGCTCCAGTCAAAGTTCCAGACCTGAAAACCATGCTACCTCTTCTCTCCCCACACTCTGTCCTGACTTGGAATGCCCACCCCTTCCACTGCCCTCCCCGCTCACCACCCGCTGTCCTCCACTGCCTCCTGACCTGAGATACACTTTGCTCTTCTCTGTCTAAGAGCTGCTGGGTCTGGGCCAAGTGTCCCTTGGTCTTTGAGCACCTCTTTACCCCCTTTACTCCCCCTTACCAGCCCCTGCTCTATTCAGTCACAGTGTCAGTTTGAGGACAGCCTACTGTACCCCATTCCCATAGACACTAGGGGGGCATTTCCATTCTATGCCCAAACCTAAGTGCTAAGCACCCATGTAACTTAAGCCAAGGCTGTCAGCAGCAAAAGACTGAGGCAAGTGTAGGGCCAGGCTACCAGAGCCTGATGCATCCAGAGCAGCAAAGCTGGTACCAGAAGGCAGCACCAGCTCTAGAGAAAACCTGGGCATGAAGCTGAGCTTCTCATCCTGGAGCCAGAGTCACCCAACAGCAGAGGGGTCATTACCAGTTCCTGACAGTGGGCTTTTCAGGAATCATGACAGATGGAATCCTGACACAGAAAACAGGTTACCATTCCTTGTGAAGTTGGCATTGTTCCTAAAAAGTGTGCATATACCTCTTTGTGCATTGAGGGGGTTGGTGTTCTGGTGGCATGGAAATCCAATTCTGTTCTCCCCTTGACTGCCTGGCACTTCCTTGAGCAATAGTTCTAAGCCCTTCAGGCCTGAGATTCTTTGGAGGATAGAGCCTGCCTTCCTTTAAAGTTGCAAATGAACTGGATGAAGTGTACTGGGGATGGCTCCCAATCTGAAAGAGAATTCTTTTGTACAGCTAGGACCTCTGCAGCGGTGAGAATCAATAGCCTCTAATTTTTCCCTTTGGAAAGGACAAAGCTATGGTTTCAGGTGTCAGCTTACCTGAGGGAAAGCCAGACTCAGCAGCGAAAGTAGGTAGCAGGTGGCTTAGAGCAAGGGAGGAGTCTGCAGACTTCCTGTGATGAGAAAGACAAGGAGTCCTCCACCCAAGAGAATAGAATGCAAGAGACCAGGGTCTTCTGGATGGCTGCAGTAGAGTGTATGTAATGCTCTATGAGCTTAGTATGGCTCTTGTCTGCGGGCCTGGAGTCTAGACATCTTCCTGGACTGAATCCTAGCCTGAGTCTGAGCCATTCACCCTGCTCCCCATCCTAGCTGTTGATCACCCTTCCTACAGAACCCTTCCCCCAGGCCTCCTTTTCTGACTGCCACAGAGAGTCTAAGCTGCTGAGCACATGGGGTTGATAACTGTCTCTCTCCTAACACCATGCATGCCCTCCTCCTGCCCAATGCACCTTTGGGGCACAGTGGCCTGTGCCCCTACCACTATCAATTGAAGGCACAGATGTTAGAACTAGGGTTTCACTTGCATTTTTGAGGCCCCTAGGGTCATTCCCTTATGCATGGCCAATGCACTACACAATCCTTACTGCACCATGCCCCAAGTGTATCTCTGGATCTGCCTCATCATCAGCCTCATCCAGATCCACCAAAAGTGCTCCAGCTAAGTCTTGAAAAGATCTCAAAACTCTGGGCAGGAGCTGGAGCAGCATGGGTGGAACTTGATGAACATTCTTCTCTTCCCTTCCTCTCCAACCCCAGCCCTTTCAGAGATGTAGCAAGAAGGGACCTCTAGATCAGCCAGACAAAAACAACCTCTTACCTTGGGCTCTCCTTTCTTCCCCAAAGTGCTAATATAACTTGTTTTAATGCTCATGGGTTAGAGTTTAAGGGCTGAGCTGTCACATTAACCTATTCTGGTTATCAGAATGAAATTGTGGCTGGTGAACCAAATAACCCTACTGAACAGCTGGGTCCTAATGAGCCTGGTGGTTTTCCCTGGAGAAGAAGGAAAAGAGGGTGCAGGTTGAAAGAATATGGTGTCTGGTTGTGAGTGGGGAGGGAGAGGATGTCCTATAGGCTGGGCAAAGATGGCTCCAAGGATAAACCTTGCCCACTTTTGAACCAGAAGGAAGTGAAATGCCTGGAAAGCATATGCATGCAAAGGAGAACTCACAAGAGCCAAGGGTCCAAGGAAGAAACGAGACATGGGGGTGTTGAGGCAAGGGAAGAGGGAGTAGCCAATGGTAGACTATATGGAAACTGTGAGCTAAGGAATTCCTGGATGGATAGCAATAAGGCCCAAGGGACAGGACTATAGCTGAAGGCAAATCTGATGGTGGGAAGGGAAGAGACCCTGGTATTCATTATTCCTGGCCTCACACACCATTATTTCTGCAGCCCACCTCACACTGTGCATTGCACAAGCATTGTGTCCATTCACCTCTTCTCCAGCACCATTTCATCTGCCTACACTGCCTTCCCCCAGTGGGCAGGCTTACCTCTGGGTGCCAGCTTGGTTTCCCTGGCTGGATTGCAGGCTCCATGAGAGCTGGCAAGTGTGCCTTCTCCCTCATCCTGTCCAAGTACACCCAGCTCCGCTTGGATTGCACTGTCAGGGATCAAGCTAGCATCAGACAACTTCTACTGCAAGCCAGATGTGGAAAGAAGTAGAAGAGGAGCTAGGGAGACTCGAACAGAAGCCAGCAGGGGTTTGAACAGAAGGATAGAAGGTGTTTTCTGTGAATGATAGGTGGCAGGCCATAGTGGGGAGGTAATAGCTGCAGTTGCCCACCCTTCTCCTGGTACACATTCATGCTTGCTATAGGTGATCATTCATTCATTCAAACAAGATTTCATAGCCTCAAAATCTGGTCATAGAGTCCAGCAGAAAGCAGGCTAGTTAGACATGTCCCAGGCAGACACACAGGGAAGTCTCTGGAACGGCACCATGTGCCTCAGAGATCTCAACCACTGAGGATGGCCCAGGTGTGAGAGATGAGATTGTTAGCACACAAAATTAGGCCATCCAGCCTACCAGAGGATGTAGGCCTACAATGACATAATGTTTGAGATTTGTTTTAAAATCCCACAGACAAGAAACAAAGAGGCTAAGTGGAGCATATGTAATTCCATCAGATAACTGTGGGATCCAAGTGGTGGGTCAATGGAAGAAGAGTCACTGTGCTTTTTGTATTTGTGAAAGGCTTGAACAAGTCACTAGTGTACCATGAGGGTCTGCCTCCTGAACCATAGCCAAGTATAGGCTTGCTGTCCCAGAGTGTACCCCTCAATGACATTGTAAAGGAAGTGTCCAGCTGTGCCTGTCAGAAACAGAACTCAACAGAACATAAAAGCAGCTACGTTAGTGACAACATGTGAGCGCATCCATTTGTTCCAGGACACAGTACAAACAGCACCTTTTTCACCAGGATAGAAAAGAAAAACATCCTCTCCTGCTTCCTACTGTTTCCAACAGTCTTCCTGGCTAATAGGCTTCCCTCTTCTTACAGTGCCATTGATGCTGCCTTCAGATGGCAATGGGATGGAGGAAGGCAACCTTCACTACCTGGTGCAGCCCAGAGCTTCAAGGAATGGACCGGGAACCTGGCAGGGTGGCCGGAGGAAATTTCGCCGCCAGCGGCCTCGCCTCTCCCATAAGGGCCCTATGCCTTTCTGAAGTAGGTACTAGAGTCCCTGGTTAAGGGGGAGAACTAACAGGGATGGGGAGGGACAGCCTAATACAGACTTGTTAGTGACCCTGTGGCTTATCATTGGCCAGGTCCACCCAGCAAGGAAGCATAGCACCAACCACAGCTTTTTAAACATTGTTTCGCCCCTCCATTTATCAGAGGAGGAGACTAAGGCCCCGAGATGGACTTGACACTGGACTCATCTCCTGGTGGCTCCCCCCACCTTCAAGTGCTGAGTACTGTCCTCTACCTTGCTGCTGCCTAGGGCTGGACAGGCTGGCCATTGGACAGTTCTGGAAGTCCTAGCAGGCCTTGATTGGAGAGGCATGCACAGGTGTCCAGTGCAGAACCTCCCCAGGTCCAGGGTGTGAATGGGAAGGAGGCAACGCTTTGAGATTTAGCGGGCGGAAGGAAGAAGGAGAGTGTGAGATCCTGGAAAGTGTGGCTGTGGTCGTCCAGAGCTACGGAAAGGAGAAAAACAATGAGAGAGCTGGAACTCGGTTTGGAGGTCCGGCCTGCTGTCACTGCACTGGGACAGAGACTAGCTAATATAGCACCTCAAGCATTAGGTTCAAGGGTTGGAATGAAACATGGAATGAAAGTTATCTCCTGTCCTTTCCTGGAGTGGAGGGTGAGGTGTCCTTTGACCTATGTTTATGACTTCTCTCGTCTTTTTTTTTGTTTGTTTTTGTCTCTTTAGGACTGAAAACGTCCCCCCAAGTGCCTGCCCTCTCTGCAGTTCTCTCTACTCCACAGATTCATCTGTTTCTGTGGAGCCTTCATATCTGTTCAACTCTCATCCTGCAGCTGGTATAGCTCCTGATGATCCCAGCTCTTTTCACCCACCAGCTTCCTCTAATAGTGTGGTCCTGCTTCTTATTCAGATGATTCCATTTCTCTCACAAGGATCCATTCAGCACATCCTTCTGGCCACTCCCTGGACTGACTATGGAAACTCAGCTCTTCTCTGGTCCACTGATGCCCGAGTCCCTACCTCACCTAGCTCTGGCCTTGCCCTTCACTTGACCCTTTCCCTCCTCATGTGTGCTCTGGCATCTGGGTGGAAACACTCCCTTCTCAGTGGGATCTTGCACCTCCACTATTTCCTGTCAGCTGAACTTAGCCAGCTTCTAGAAAAGAATACAGAGATACATAATGAGAGGATCTAGTTAGAGGCATAGATTGTTGGAATCCAGACAGGTTGCATCGGGGCGCTGAAATGGAATGTGGTTGAAGACTAAAGTACAACAGAAATAGTAGCTGTAGCCTCATCATTGTGTTTGGCCAAGTTAAGGAAGAGATGAAGGAGAGGAGGCCATGAGGTAGTTTGTCACTTCTCTCATCTTATGCTGTCTCCTAATACTCTCAACCTCCACTTAGCCCCAGCTAATTCAGTGTCTGAGTCATGACTCTATACCCTTCAGGGAGTGAAAGCCAAGTAGGAGGTTTGTTTTTGCCAAGAATCACAGAAAAGCAGGACCCAAAGGACCTTAGAAGATCTCTTAGCTCAGCCTTCTTATGCAAAAGCCTGCAAAAGGAGAGGGGATTGACCTGCTTGGGCCACTGCAGAGCCAGAAAAGGGACCAGGTCTCCCAACTCCCACTTTATGATACCTCCTTCCCTCTTGATGATGTCCTTTCAAAACAAATGAAGTGCCTTTTTTCCTAGGGTTAGGGTTACTAGTGGCTGGAAAGAGGAGAGGCAAGCTACCTGTGAACTGCCCTGTGTGGGAATGGGGATGGAGCTGCTCCCACCTCTCAGGCTGCTCCATTTCCATCCTGGGCTCGATGGTTCCATAATTGGGACCCCTTACACTTCAACAGCACTTGTTGTCCAGAACCAGAAGTAGCCTTATTTCCAGTGGCCTCTTCTTAGAGGGCAGAGGGCAAAGAGTGGACAACAAGAGAAGAGGAGCTAGATGGAGAGAAGGAAGGAAGGAGAAACGGGAGTTTGTACAAATGGGGTACACCTCTCTACCAGGACATCCCATCTTCCATGAGGAGCCTTCTGCAACTCTTCCCTGAAGCAGAGAAGGGGTAGAGTCATCTTGCCTTTTGTGTGAGCAAGTATCCTTTTCAGAGGCTTCTCAGGAGGGACAAAGAGAAGACAAAGCTTAATGCTCACCTACATGTGTGTGGGCCAGTGGGAATCAGGACCCCCACGTCCCACAGTAACCCTGGTGTTTGCCTATCTACAACCCCTAAATCCTTTTCTTTCTCACTGCTGCTAATGCTGCTGCTGCTGCTATTGCTGCTGCTGTGTCTGAGCCCACCCTGTGGAGCAGGGCACAGCCTCATCACCCCAGGGCTTGGAGTAGGAGCTGCCCAGTGCCTGTTCTGCCACTGGTCCCTCAACAGGGACCTAGCCTTCTTCCTCCTTGTCCTTTATGAAGTTCCTGCCTCATCAGCCTGCAATGACTTGTAGCTAAGCCCAGCCCCAAGGGGAAGGGGAGAAAAGAGGCTGAAAAAGAGGAAAGATGTTGGGGGGAGGTTTGGCAAAAGGGGAGCCTGGATGGGCATGGAGGCTGTCTTATTTAAAGTGATTATGTATGATTCTTATGCTAATTTATACAAAGATATTAAGGCCCTTCTCATTAAGAAACTGTCCCCTCTTCCCATAATTGTGTTCACTGTATTTGTAAAGATTGTTCTATGTAAATATGTCTTTATAATAAAGAGTTAAAAGCTGATACTTGCCCTTACTCTTGGAGGTCACATTCAGGATGGGCGTTCCTTTCCCCCTGGGGGCCAGGGTTGTTCTTGTGCCCAAAGATTGCACGTGCAAGGCGGGGAGGGGGCAGTAAGTGCCTGCATCCCAAATTGGTTTTAGGTCAACTGGTCTCTCAACTGATTCACCACAAGTTCACAAAGGAATCTGTGCTTAATGACCAGTGCACATAAAATACAACCCACTTTTAAGTCTTTGGCATCTATTGGAATGTCCTAATTTTTTAGCAGTCACTTAAAAGGATTTCTCAAAAGCAATTTACTTAAGAGCATGCTGATTCAAGACAGTATTTCTACTACAAATTGTTTTGTAGCCTTGGTGGGTGTCTTCTATTTTCTCTACTTCTGAACACTTTTGGGACTTCTTTACCAGTTTGCCTTTCTTGAAAAATGTTATGTTCTCAGCAATAAATATATTTTGTAATCACTTTGTATGTATCATTTTTATGTTTCACAAAGTAAAGTTGCTTGATGAATGAGATGGCCTGAAAAACGAGATACAGAGAGTTCAATTCAGTCCTGCCCCATATCTCCTATATCTTCGTGTTTGTTGTCAAAATGTCAATATCTTCCAGAACACAAAGAAACATTGGGTACATGCTAATTTGCTTAAAAAACCCATTAGGGGCATGCAAGCATACATAATGCAGAGCAAAACCCAAAGCAACGGAGATAGGAGTGATCGAAATGCATACATTTGGTGCATCTTGTAGGAAATTCTATAGATGTGACAAGTATTTAAGGCCCCAAATACATCATTTTAAAGAAAGCACCTTCAGACAAACTTGCTCAACAGTCATAAAACTGTTCAATAAGAGAACAAAAAAAAAAGAAAAAGTCAGCCACAAGCTGTAAAACTATCTCATCATTGACAAAATGCTGCATATGGTTACATAGTTATTTAAAAATATGACATTTTGTTGGAAGTGCCTCTTAGGAAAATTGGTGCAAAATACTTTATTTTTAAGAAATTGCTAGTTTGACTTTTAGGCAAACTAGTCATCAGAGAGCAACTAGCTTTAGGCAGAGCTGGGTTTGGGGTGGGCTGGCTTTATACTGATTGGTCTATTATCTCCCTATTCACCCTCAGAGCTCTAAGAAGCCAAGAAGAAAGAGGTGGGGGTGGGGCAAAACAACAGAAAAGCTGCCCATAAAGTGCACAGACCTTTAACAATTTGCAGAGCTCTTTAAAAATATTAACTCATTACATCACTTTACCAACTTGGCCACAAAGAGCACCGGCACTTAGCTTACAAATGAGAGAATTAGCTAACAAAGAGGAAGCCACTGGCTTAGTCTCTCAGCCTCTAAGTGAATCAAGATTCTAGTCTTTGAAGTTTAACATGCAGAAACTTTCTATAGTAGAACAGGCAATCCTCTAGCCAGAGATAAAACAAAGTACGAAGAGTGCTGGGTTTTCTCATCAGTGCAACAGAATTTTGGAGTACAAGGAAAAGCAAAAGGGGAAAAAAGGGAAAGTGAGTGGGAGACAAGCTACTCAAATTTGCACTAGAAGGCCCAATAGCATTTGATTAAGTTGACAGGAGGCTGGTAGGCAGTGAGGGTGGGAATAAGGAAAGGGGAACAGCCATCTGGGACCATGGAACAGGTTTAGTAAACGGGATGCTAGTGGATGGAAGCAAGCCAAGCCTCCTTAGGCCAGGGGATGACAGGAAAAATGGGTGGCCTTCTGTAAAGAGAGTTATACCTCAAACCGAAACAGGGGAAATCATATAGGTTATATCTTTTGGAGATAGGTTGATTGACCAAATAAATACAATAGAAGCAGAGCCCTAGAAAAACTGCTTATTTCTGGACAAGTAGATCCTGGACTGAGAAGTTGAAGGGTGAGGGCAGAGTACCTGAAATACAACTCTGCTTCCACTCCATCTGGAAATTAGGCAGGCTCTTCAGTGACAGAGATTAGGCAGGCAAATGCACTCAGACCACCCACCTGGATTTTGAGGACCTTAGGTGCAGTGTCAAATAAGCTAAAAGCTGCTTTCAAGCCTTAGACTCTGCCATAAGTCCTAGCTGACTTGCTATCTCCAATTGGGCCTGGACTGTGCTTCTGTAAGCAAGGGTCTCATGGGCCCTGGCCTGAGTAACCATTCTGAGGGACTTATATAATTCTGTTTTTAGGCCTAAAGGTTTTTCAACTGAAATTTCTCAACCTAAGTAAGGTTTGTTTCTTCCTGACTCTAGTGAGCCTGTGCCAGATAACTGCCAAAGATGTCGGAAAAGTCTTGGTCAATACCTTCCTCTCCTGGCCCAGGAAGACTGCTGACCCAGCCAGCATTTTGTTGGAACTTCCCCCGCAAAAGAAAGGCCTCTCCAGGGTTCCTTTGAAAAGCCACTGTTCCCTTTATAGTGACCAGTGCTTGAAGGACACTGGCCAGAGCTGCTCTATGCTGCTGCCTTGGACATTAGTTTCAGGCCTAATAGGTACCCAGGTCACTTACTTTAATGTCTCAAATCAAGGATCAGCAAATGTTTTCTATAAAGTATCAGATAGGAGTTTTGGTTTTAGAGATCATACAGTCTCTGTTCCAACTATTCAAGTCTATCGTTGTTATCCCAAAATAGCCATAGACAATTCTTAAATCACTGGGTATGGCTGTGCTTTAACCAACCTTTTTTATTTTTATTCTTTGCCAATGCTGGGGCTTGAATTCAGGGCTTGGGTACTGTCCCTTACCTTCTTGTTGCTCAAGGCTAACACTCTACCACTTGAGCCATAGCACCACTTCTGGCTTTTTCTGTTTATGTGGTACTGAGGAATGGAATCCAGGGCTTCATGCAGGGTAAGCAAGCACTCTACCACTGAGTCACATTCCCAGCCCCCAAGCATTTATAACATTAAAAAATCATTACCTTCAAACAACTGTACAAGGGAGTTTTAATGTGTCCATTTATAGATGCAATACATCTTTTCCAACCAAATGTTTTCAAAACCTGTGGCAGAAACAAGGGACTTGGCCTGGGTGCCAAAAAATGGCAAGCTATAAAGTTCATTTTCAACAGTGTCTTGTACATCTCATTGTTACAATGGGTCAATCTGTATCCTTATTTCAGCATTTTGTTATTTCCCTTCCTCTCTCCAAATTAGAAAAATGTATATGCAAGATTCAGGGCACCAACATCAAATACAGTGACAACAGGGGTTATACTATGGAGAAAGAACATACAAAAGAAATAAAAAATCACACAGTACATTATAAGTACATTAAAAACAACACCAACCGCCGGGCGCTGGTGGCTCATGCTTGTAATCCGAGCTACTCAGGAGGCTGAGATCTGAGGATCAAGGTTCAAAGCCAGCCTGGGCAGGCAAGTCCATGAAACTCTTATCGCCAACAAGTCACCAGAAAACTGGAAGTGG